CAGAGATTAAAAAAATTAAAACCTCGGTTCCCGAACATCTCTCATCTTGAACAATACGGTTCTTGACCAAGTTGTTCACAGAAAAAATGTCTCAGTTGTAGACCAAAACTTCAGTTTTTGACCTGACAATCCTTTCATGCTGATACCTCAGCATGACAAAAAGCATCTATCAGGCAGCAAACAAAGGAGAGAATGCTTTTGTTTAGCACAATTTTAAAACATAGACTATCAAGAATGCAAATGTTGCTAAAGGGTGTGAAAGTGATCCCAAAACAACAATCACAGGTAATTGAATAGGTAGAAAAACTGTTGTTGATTGGATAAAGGAAAAGCAGTTAGCTGGTGATAGCATTCCTAAGGCAGAGATACATGAAAAATTCATTTAAGGCTAGTTGGGGTTGTTTTCATAAATTTAAGAAAAGTATTTATTTATAGATTAAACAGTGCACTATACATGTACTGTATATAAGAAAGGTTTGGCTCAGTGGATAGAGCGTAGGCCTGTGGACTGAAGGGTCTGGTTTGATTCCAGTCAACGACACATACCTCAGTTGCAGGCTCCATCCCTGGCCCCTTGTTGGGGGCTTGTATGGGAGGCAACCAATCAATGTGTCTCTCTCACATTGATGTTTCTCTCTCTCCCCCTCTTCCACTCTCTCTAAAAATCAATGGGAAAAATATCCTCAGGTGAGGAATAACAAAACAACAACAAAACATCCAGGGAATCATTTGGGAATCTGGAACAATTAATTCAATTTACATTATTCCTAGTGGGGAAAAAATGATTTGGTTTTAGAACAAATCACTTCTCGAACAGCCTTCTGGAAAGAATTAAGTTCAAGAAATGAGGTTCCACTGTATACTCCGCCATATAAAATAATGCATAGAAAACTAAAAGAAAACATGCCTAAATATTTATAGGGCTTACCTCTGGTTGATGAGATTGTAGGAATTTCCCTTTATTTCCTTATAATCTCTAAATGTAAATAATATATATGCATACACATATATATGTATATATATGACTGCTATAATTAAACTAATTGCTTAAGTAGTTTCTGCAGCAATGAGCAGTCAAGTCCCAATTGCAGTTATGGGCCTTCTCCCTGGAAAAATGTTCATAAGCTCTTACACACAACATCCACTCTGCATCCCTTCAGGGTGGCCCCAAAGCAAGGGCATGTCCATCCCTGCCTGTAGGAGGCAGAATGACAATGACTCCTGGGCCAGCCACAACCAATAATATTGAAATTTTAGAAATGCGCAAATCCAAAATGGAAGCATCAATTAAGAAGCCCATTGGCTATACCACACCAGCTTGGTCCGTAGAAGGGGGTTAGTCGGGCCTGAGCCCCACGATTGCAGCCGCAGGTCTGTGGTCCTTGGGGATAGGAATGCACTAGGCATCTGAACATTCATTCTCTCCAGTTGACTCTCTGGTTCACATCCTTGGCTCATGAGTGCCTTTAGGAAAAGATGTGGCTACTTTTAGGGCAGAGGTTTATATATTTGTATAATTCTAGGGACCAGAAAGGCAAAGCATAGGAGAAATAAACTGCCAGGGTATAATCAAACTTTATTTTATGTTATAAGGTACAAACAAATGATGCCAGAGATTGTGCTTTAAGTTGACATTAGAAAAATGTAATTTGGAAAAAGAAATAATTACTCAGAGTTTTTTAATTTGTTACTCCTCAGATTTGAAATCTAAAATGGGATGTTACTCACTAATGCCCGTCAGTCAATGTCAGGTTGGGGACCTCTCGTAGCAATATGCAGGAGCAAACTCATCTTTGAATCCTTTAACTGGGAACAATAGTATTATTTTGTGTCATAACAGAAAATAGTTGCTCACAAATATATGTACTTCCAAACATGGACAGAATCTTTGCACAATGATTTTTATATTTAGGGTAACTATTCCCAAGATATTTGAAGAATTCTGGGATTCCAACATCATCATATTTGGTTTTCAATATAGTGTTGTGCTGCAATTCAATAACCTCCATTTGTAGCTCTTCATTCACATTATTAATATTAATTGAGAAAGGTGAGCTGAACAGTATAAGTTCGTTTTCATAAAGTTTGAAATCAGAGAACCTTTTTTGAAATTCAGTCTTCAACTCTTTAATTTTGGGAATGTAGTTCAGCCCATCACTTTCATTTTCAGAAACTAGTCTCAGCGTCGGGAAGTGGGCCAGATTGTTTCTTGCCAAATGAGTTTCCCAAAGACACAATTTCGCTAGGAAAGAGCGAACTGCATGGTACATTTGTGTAACCATCTGCGAATGCCCTTGCAGAGCAACATCCAACATGTTTACATAAGTCATAATGTCAACCAAAAAGGCTAGGTCTTTGACCCAACCTTTGTTACGAAGCTGAGGCACAGATTTTCCTTTAGAAGACATGAAAATGTCAATTTCTTCCAACAGTTCAAAAAACTGCCTTAGCACCATTCCACGGCTCAGCCACTTCAGTTCCATGTAGGTCAGGTGTCCATACTGTGTGTCTAACTCACTGAACAAAGCACTAAACTTCCTGTGGGTCGAGCCATGGGAATGCAGCCACGTTATGGTGTAAATTACTATGTCCATGACATGATCCATTTGTAACTTTTTAGCACAAAGGGATTCTTGGAGAAAGAGGCCATGCACAGATTTAAGTTCTGTGTCTTTGCAAAGCCCTGACACTTTAGACTTAAGTTTTGTAATAAGCTGCTTCACACCAACCGTTGCAGAATTACCATCTGTGCTAACACTTACTAATTTTGACCAGTCTACATCAAATTTTCTAAGACTTTTCTCAACACATAAAAATAAGTCATTTCCCGATGTTGTGCCCGTCAGGGGTACCATGTCCAAAAGTTCCTCAGTCACATCAAAAGTTTCATCAACACCACGAATAAATACAGCTAACTGGGGGGCGTTATTTATATAAGTGCTTTCATGAGCTGCAATAGAGAAAGCCACAAATGATTTAACTTTTTCTTGCAAGGTATTCTGTAAGTTCTCAGTCACATTGGCAACATGCTGCTCAGCAATATTACCAGTGAGATTTATGTTGGCAAACACTTGTCTCTGTTCAGGGCACAAAATTTCTGCAGCACTCAGTAGACATTCCTTTATAAACGCACCATCTGTAAGGGGTTTTGATGCCCGGGCAATTTTCTCACGTAACACGTAACTACATTTCATGGCAGCATCAGTTATTTTATTCACATTCAAAAGCAAATCATGTTCAAGTTTCAACCTTTTTTTCAGTTCATTGAGTTTTTTATCACGCATCTTTTCTGTATATCCAACAAGGTTCCTACTGTGGTTTGTTTCATAATGGCATCTTAGGTTATATTCTTTCGACACAGACAGACTCTCTTTGCATATTAAACACATAGGAACATTCTTTACCTCCACAAAGAAATAAGCTCTCTCCCATTTTTCTTGAAATGTGTGGCTTTCTTGTTCTATCTTTTGTTTTCCTATTTTTTGAAAGAGATAAATGCATAAGAAATGTTAAAATGTCATCTTTACTAATAGGGAAGAAAGTACTACTTTGGAATAAAAAGTATTAACTATTTTTTCAAAGTGTAAGTGTGCTGTTCACTGGTTTGGAGTTAGGGAGAACTTAGAGAATGGTGGAGGCTGCACAAACAGCAAATGCCACAGTTAAGAGAAAACGGCTGCTTCTCTCCAGGTGGCTGCAGACAGGTAGGACTTCGGGCAGGTAGGGCTGCAGCCACAGGGTGGCCAGATTTCCTGATGTAGCAAAAGAAGCTGGGAATCCCAATTTTTATGTGAAATGTCTTGATTTTAAAAAAAAACACATTTGTAACAAATTGTATTGCTTTTTCCTATAAATGCTGTATAAGCCACCATGCTTACCAATCAGATTAGGGGCACTGGCTTGGGGTTTCTGATTTAAACCTGACAACAACTCTTCTTAAAAATAATTAAATGTCTGAAGAGAACTAAATATCGCATTCTGAAACCACAAGTTTAAGAGGTTGTTCAAACAGAAGCCTAAGGGTACCCAAAAAGGGAAACCAAACTGATGTATCTCAAGGTCCCATTTCTTTTTAAATATGTTTTTATTGAATTTTTAAAAAGGAATGGAGAGGGAGAGGGAGAGGGAGAGGGAGAGGGAGAGGGAGAGGGAGAGGGAGAGAGAGAGAGAGAGAGAGAGACTGCCTCTTACATGCCCGCAACTGGAGATCGAGCCAGAAACCCGAGCCAGAAACCCAGGCATGTGCCCTGACGGGGAATCGAACTGGGGACCTCTCAGTGTATTTGATGATGCTCAACCAAAAGAGCCAAACCGGCCAGGGCTCAAAGTGCCATTTCTTTTACAGACATCAAGGTTACAGTTAACTAGGAAAATGCTCATTAGCTTGATATAATTATGAGGATGACTTACATGTTTTTGATACAGGGAGAAAATTGTATTTAAAAGTGCCAAGTGCCCCTAACCTAATTGACACCCCTCGTAAGTCTCCATCTACAGAGCTTTAGCATGCTTACCTCTCCAACTTCTGTTCTTCCTGGCCCTCTCTTCTTGGCCTTGATTTTTCTCTCCAACATGCTCCAGAACTATGGCAAGCCCTCCAATTTCTGTCCCTTGCTTCTCTTCCAAGGTTCTCTCTGCATCAGCTTGTGACTTGAAGTCAATATAGGCAATTCTGCAGTTGTGGGGATGGGGTGGGGAGGGAGAACTGCCAGCATTTAGTATTTGTATTTATCTGTCTTTTTAAACGGTAATACATATACAAGATTCAAAATGCAAAAAGAGCCCTAACCGGTTTGGCTCAGTGGATATAGCATCAGCCTGCGGACTGAAGGGTCCCAGGTTCGATTCCAGTCAAGGGCATGTACCTTGGTTGCGGGCACATCCCCAGTAGGGGGTGTGCAGGAGGCAGCTGATCGATGTTTCTCTCTCATCGATGTTTCTAACTCTCTATCCTTCTCCCTTCCTCTCTGTAAAAAATCAATAAAATATATTAAAAAAACAAAAAAACAAAATGCAAAAAGATAGATACCATGAAGTCTTCCTGCCACTCAATTTCTATCCTTAGAGATAATAAACTGTACATATAAAAGCAAATATACACATACTCTATTTTTTTTATTATATATATATATTTTATTGATTTCAGAGAGGGAGAGACAGAAATATCAATGATGGCCCTAACCGGTTTGGCTCAGTGGATAGAGCGTCGGCCTGCGGACTCAAAGGTCCCAGGTTTGATTCCGGTCAAGGGCATGTACCTTGGTTGCGGGCACATCCTCAGTAGGAGGTGTGCATGAGGCAGCTGATCGATGTTTCTCTCTCATCGATGTTTCTAGCTCTCTATCCCTCTCCCTTCCTCTCTGTAAATAATCAATAAAATATATATTTTAAAAAAAAAGGAAAAAAAAAAGAAATATCAATGATGGGAATCACTGATTGGGTGCCTCCTGCACGCCCCCTACTGGGGGTCAAGCCTGAAACCCAGGACTGGGAATTGAACTGTGACCACCTGGTTCATAAGTCGACACTCAACCACTGAGCCACACCAGCAGGGCCACATACTCTATTTAATTCACCCATGTAAAGTATGCAATGGTTTCTAGCATATTTATAGAATTATACAGTCATCACCATAATCTAATTTTAGAACATTTTCATCATCCCCAAAAGTATCCCTCAGCAGTCATTCTTCGTTCCTCGCCCCCCCCCCCCATTCATTCCCATCCCCCAGCTGCAGGCAACCACTACAATGTTTTCCATAGATTTGCCTATTTTGGACATTTCATATCAATAGGATTATACAAATATGCAATCTTTTGTGTCTGGCTTCTTTCACTTAGCCTAATGTTTTTGAGTTTCATCCATGTTGTCATAGCATGTGTCAGTATTTCACCCCTTTTTATGACTGAATAATATTCCACTGTATGAAAGTACCACATTTTGTTTATCTGTTCATCAGCTGTTGTACATTCTGGGTTATTTACACTTTTTAGCTAGTATAAATAAATCTGATACAAACATTCATAGAAATGTATAGTTACAAGTTTTTATTTCTTTTGGGTAGATACCTAATAGTAGGATTGCCAAACCATATGGCAACTGTATGTTTAACATTTTGAGAAACTGCAAAACTGTTTTCCAAAACAACTGCTCTATTTTGCATTCCCACCAGCAATGTTTGAGGACTCCAATTTCTCCACCTCCTTGCCCAAACTTGTTACTGTCTGCCTTTTTTATTATAGGCATTCTAGTGGGTTGAAGTGGTATCACATCATGGTTTTGATCTGCATTTCCTTAATGACTAATGTTGAACATCTTTTCATGTGCTTATTGGCCATTTCTATATCTTATTTGGAGAAATGTCCATTCAAATCCTTTTAAATTGGGTTTTCTTTAATTTATTTTACAGAGAGGAAGGGAGAGGGATAGTTAGAAACTTCAATGAGAGAAAAACATCAATCAGCTGCCTCCTGCACGCCCCCTACTGGGGATCAAGCCTGTAACCAAGGTACATGCCCTTGACCAGAATAGAACCCGGGACCCTTCAGTCCGCAGGCCGATGCTCTATCCACTGAGCCAAACTGGCTAGGGCAATTGGGTTGTCTTTTAATTTGAGTTGTACGAGTTCTTTCTATGTTCTGAATACAAGTTCCCTATCAGATACATGATTTGCAATATTTTCTCCCAGTGTGTGGTTTCTTTTGACTTTTTGGATAGTGTCCTTTGAAGTACAAATGTTTTTAATTTTGATAAAGGCTAACATCTCAATCTTCTGTTTTATTGTCTGTGCAATATCTTTACCTAGTATCACAAAGATTTACTCTTGTGTGTTTTTTTCTAAGTTTTAACTCTTACCTTTAGATATTAGATCCATTTTGAATTACTTTTGTTTATGATGTGTCCCCCATTATTTTTTTTCTTTCTCTCTCTCTCTCTCTCTTTTTCTCCCATTATGGTTTTTTAAAAAATGATTTTTAGAGAGATAGGAAGGGAAAGAGAGAGATAGAAACATCGATGAGAGAGAAACACCGATCAGCTGCTTCCTGCACACCCCCTACTGGGGATTGAGCCTGCAACCTGGGCATGTGCCCTGACTGGGAATTGAGCCGGCAATCTCCTTCCTGGTGCATAGAGAACACTCAACCAACTGAGCCACACCAGCCAGGGCAGTAAGAATATTCTTGAAGAGAATGCACCACACTCATTCTGACTTGGGCACTATGCTTTATTTCATATGGTCATGGATTCTGGGCTTCTCTCAGCTCCCCTTTGTAATAAATCTTAAATGATTCTAAACATTTAAGTATATCTAACTACAACTTAATTAAAGTTAGAGAATTAATATAGCTTTTGGCAGGAATTTCTGCTTTGTTGTTGCTGACCACAAGCATGCAGAGTGCCCGCCAATCTCCTCACAGAAAACACTGTGAACAATTTGGGATTTGTTTTCAGACTTGTTTTCTAAATCTGCAGGATTCTTTGTAGAGATTATGTTCATCAGAATATACTGGCATAAGTTGTTTTAGAGTACACCAACACCAACAAATTCAGCTCAAATGTGTCTGGAAACCTGATATTCAATTTTCACCTCACTGAAAATCCCTCCGAAGTACATTCTGTTCCATCCATTCTAACTTCACCATATTCACCCTCTTACCCTATCAAAGCTTGGACACACGGTGATAATTTTCATTAACTGCTCACAACATAATTCTTTTTTTTAATCCTCACCCAACGATATTTTTCCCTTTGATCTTTAGAGAGAGAATGGAAGGGAGAAAGAAGGGGGAGAGAAAGAGAAACATTGATGAGAGAGAGAGACACATCGACTAGTTGCCTCCCACATGCACCCTAACCTGGGATCAAACCTGCAACCCAGGTACAAGTCCTCGACTGGGAATCAAACCTGCGACTATCCATCTGAGGACCAACACTCTAACCACCGAGGCAAAATGGCCAGGGTTCACAGTATAATTCTAATAGACAAAGTTAATGTTCTGTTTTGGTACCTGTCCAGGCAAGTCACAAAGTGTGTTATTTTACTGGAGCTAGCCCTGAAGAGAGAGGAATGAAGATTATCTATGGCTGAATTCTTCCAATCTTCAATCTTGTATTTGGTCGAATAAGTCTCCATTTTTCTATGATACCAACATTGTTTTCTACCAGGATCTTCTAATAGCAAGGCTACTTAACTACTCTTTCATTCTCTAAAATCAGGCATCAATGATTTGGGAGAATGGAATGAAATTGTCACGTTTGGATCCAGTAGACATGTATTCTTTTCAGTACGAGGTACGAAACATACCTTTTACTTATCCCATCATTGCTCAGAAATCTGATTTGAAAAGCATCCTCAAACACTTCCTTTAGTTCATGCTCAGTGACCTTGCTAGGCAAGTTCTTGATCAAAAGTGTTTTGGCATTTCGATCTACATAAATAGAAAAGAGTATTTTTAGTCTGCATTTAGATCTCATAGGCATCAAAAGTTCTCTCGGAGAGAAAAAAATATTTCACACACACAAAAAATATTTCACAAGAGTTGAAGAGAGGAAACAACAATGCATACTCCTTCAAATATTTGAACTAAACAAATATTTGAACATACAGGTTGGGTGAGGGCCTATGCTTCATGCAGGCTGTGAAAATATAGGAATGTGGTCTTGTGGGGGAAAAACCAGTACATAAACAATCCCATAATTACAAATTGTGCTAAGTGCCAGGAAGGAAAAGTAAAAGGGGAGATGAGAACATTTAGTGGAGAAGACATAGCCTCGTCTGGGGTAAGGGAAAGGTTTCTGGATCTGAGGAAGTGACCTTTAAGCTGGATGGGTTGCAGGTAGCCAGGGCATGAGTCTTGCAGTGAACATGTGACAGAGAAGATAAGGTAGAAAATGACAGAGAGTAAGGTAAAGAACTGGAATGAGAGCAAGGTGGGCCAAGTTGGTGATGTGGAAGCAGGTGACCTGTTGGTAACTGAGCACGGAATAAGACAGAAGATGATATTCCTGCCTGACGCAGTCTTTTAGGTAGCTATAAACAAATTACCTTATTTGCATACCTTTTTTTGTTTCCTTTCCCTTTGGTTTCTTCAATTTAATTTCATACCCAAGGACCTTTGTCTCACTGAGTTCCAGGGCTTTTTCCTGATCGTCAACAGATTTAAAATTCACATAACCAAATCTCCTACAGAGAGGAAGAAGAAAGGAAAACACACACAAACACACACACACACACACGTTAAATCAAGAGGCACAAGCCTTCTGGTTGGCTCATCACACTGGTTGTGAGAGTGGAAATTAGTATCAAGTAAAAAGCAGTTGTTGAATTTACAATTTCAAACCAAGGCTCCACCAACTGGCAATATCAGTGCCAGGGAGTCCCCAGAAAATAGTGGTTCTCACCAGCGAGTTTGGCAATATTTGGGGACATTTTCAGCTGTTACCACTGGGGCAGTGCTTCTATTATCTTGTGGGTAGAATTCAGGGAAGCTGCTAAACAGCCTACAATGAACTTGACAGCCCACCACAAAAAGGTCAACCATGCCAAGGTTGAGAAGCCCTGTTCTAGAGCAAGGACTGGTTTTCTGTTTAATAACTGACCAGAGCCCTAACCGGTTTGGCTCAGTGGATAGAGTGCCGGCCTGCGGACTCAAGGGTCCCAGGTTCGATTCCAATCAAGGGCATGTACCTTGGTTGCAGGCACATACCCAGTACGGAGTGTGTAGGAGGCAGCTGATTGATGTTTCTCTCTCGTCGATGTTTCTAGCTCTCTAGCTCTCTCCCTTCCTCTCTGTAAGAAATCAATAAAATATATTAAAAAAAATAATAACTGACCAGAGTTAACCAAAAGCTATAGAAAATGAAGCTTAAAATGACAAGTTTTTGAACTTTTATTTTTAATAAGCAGCCATCTACATTTGTTTACTGGAACAAAAATATTATTCCTAATGTGGAACTGTTAACAAACTCAAGGGCTGTTACGGTAAGAATTTTTTCTTAATACAAAAGGAATCCTTATTTACTGCAAATGCAACAATATTCCAAAATATAGCTAACAAAAACTAGAAGAGCCAGGGACAGGCTCTGGAGCCAGAGTGCTGGGCTCAAGTCCTGGCTCTGCCCCTTTCTCGCTGTGATACTGGGCATGCAGCATAACTTCTCTGTGCCTTAGTCACCTCTTCGATGAAATGGGGATAATGGCAATAATCACCACTGAGGACTGTCTTATGGAGTCAGTGAGTTATATAAATAAGACACTAAGAGCAACACCTTGAACAGTGAGCACCCAGCAAATGTTTACTAGTATGATTACCTTTGTTTCTACCTGAGAAATTCTGAGTTGTACAAAACAGGCTTACACCTAAGACATTTGCTTTTGATGAGAAAGAAGTGAGAAAAGATGAAATTCAACTCAGCAAAAAAGCAGAACTATATTTACCACCAAAGTTGGGGGTTTTGTGATTAAATTTGTGGCTTAGCTAACATAATTCTAGGCAAATAACATTGCTCACGGTTGGAAAATCATGAAAATACGTTTCTGTAAAGACTTGGAAGATCTTGGGATTATTTTAATGCTTTGGTTAGGAAAATGGGGTAGCAAAGTTCAATCTTGTAGGTTTAATAAACAAGCCACTGAAGGGTTTTAAATACTCATTTTGACTGCAAGAGACTGAGGTAAAATCCCACCAAAGGGCGAAGAGCAATAATGGAAGGATGTGACAAAATGGAAGTCTAGTGACCCACAGTGAAACAGAAAGCGACGGGGAATCCTAAATTCTCCAGGGACAGTACGTGCTAGGCTGATAAACTCTTAACAACATTCTTAATTTACCGGTATTTACCTGGACGAGCTGACTCTGACACCAACAACTGTGAGTTCATTTTTAGCAAAAAATTCCCTGAGACCAGTTTTTAGTTCAGCAGCAGTTTTGTTGAAATTCAGGTTTCCAACAAACAGTTTGAAAGTTACAGGTGGTTCAGCTGCCATACAAAAAGGTAAAACAACAACAACAACACACACAAGTCAAATAAGCAGTTCAGAAAGAATGATGCTAAAAGAAAATTCATCAAAGACTGGCGTATTTTAACACCAGGCTGCAATTAAAATCCTTGCTCGTGATTTAAGATTTGGTTTTCACCAAGATAAAATTCTCTATGTGTCCCTTATATTTTAAAACACAGGAAAGAGCCCTGGCTGGTGTTCTCAGTGGTTAGAGCATCAGCTTGCACACCTGAAGGTCTCAGATTTGGTTCCCAAAGGCACGTACCTGGGTTGCAGGTTCGATCCCCACCCCTGGTCTCAGCTTGTACGGGAGGCAATTAATCAGTGTGTTTCTCTCACATTGATGTTTCTCTCTCTCTCTCTCTCTCTCTCTCTCTCCCTTCCTCCCTCCCTTCCACTCTCTCTAAAAAGCAATGGAAAAAATATCTTTGGGTGAAAATTAACAAAACAAAACAAAAAAACACAACAAAGGAGTTACCTTCTAATTTCTGTTTTTTGGTTTCAGGGGAAGCCTTCTGTTTGGCCATTTTCTTCTTCTGTTTATCAGGTGTTTTTTTAATATGATCTGTGGGCAAAAGCCAAAATATTGTATTTTTACTGATCTGTCTGTGCCACTAGTAAGTAAACTGGAAGTTCTTACATTCTCCACAAATATCATACCTATGTTATGCCTATTCTTCACAAGACACATGGATTAGGTCTGGTCAAAATACTTTTAAAAGCATTTATAAATTAATTAGAAAGTTCTTCAAGTTCATAACAGAAATGCAACAGTCCCTGCCCAAGGACTTCCCTTAAACTAGAAATCGTTGAGACTGGCCACCATTTAACATAGCCAATTTGGGTCATTCTGACCCTCCTCCTCTTCCTCATAGCCTTTGTCATCACAGTGGTTGTCCTGCTCGTCCTCCTCGGCCCCCACAGGAAAGGCTTTTCTCCTTCTGGACCATGGAGAATTCACAGCTTCTTTTTCAGAATCTAAATGAAAACCCACCCAATCAATTCCTGACACATATTCAAATACCTCCTTTAAATAAAACTCATACCGTCCTGGCCGGTTTGGCTCAGTGGATAGAGCATTGGCCTGTGGACTGAAAGGTCAAAGGTTCGATTAAAGTCAAGGGCATGTACCTTACCCTTACTCCTACTGCGGGAACATCCCCAGTAGGAGGTGTGCAAGAGGCAGCTGATCAATGTTTCTCTCTCATTGATGTTTCTAACTCTCTATCCCTCTCCCTTCCTCTCTGTAAAAAATCAATAAAATATATTTTAAAAAATAAAATAAATAAAACTCATACCAATACACTTTAGAATCTAACTCAATTACCTTCATCTTCATCCTCCTCTTCGTCTTCATTTCCTGTGCTCTTGGCCTTCACAGGAACAGCTTTTACAGGAGCTTTCTTGCCTTTGGCTGGTGTAATCTCCATTGGTTCTACCTAGTCAAAAACTCAAGAGAATTATCCTCAAACCAACATTAGTTCCAGATAAAGCTAACATTAGTTCCAGATAAATCTAAAGGAAAAACTACATAATACAATACTGTGCTTAGTAGTTATAGCAAGAATTAACAGATTACTTGGAAGCAAAACCCTATATTATGAAAACTACTCATAGAATGTGCTGTTAAACATTTTCTCAGTAGTATACAACCAGCACGGAGAATCCCTGGGAGGATTTTTATCTAATCCCCATGGTGTCATGGAAGGAGTATGTCTGCATGTTGCCCACCCACCCCACAATCTCACCCCTAATGTACCTTGCAAACAAGAGAAGAGCCCAAGAACTACCAATAGAACACCTTACCATCTTCATCATCATCATCATCCAAGAAAGGGGCAGCAGCAGTAGCTTTCATCACTGCTGGCTCAAATTCAACCTCATCCTCCTCTTCACTGTTGCCATCATCTTCCTCATCACTATCTTCCTTCTTGGCATTCTTGGCATTCCCTGCTCCCTTGTCTGGGGTGGCTGCTTCCTTCTTACCAGGGGTTGCTATGGCTTTGGCTGGTGTAACTGCTGCCTTTTTGCCAGGAGCCAGTATAGCTGTTGCCTCTTTGCCAGGGGTGACAACTGCTTTCTTGCCTGCTGTGGCAACTGCAATCTTTTCTGTTGGGGAAACCATCACCTTCTTTCCTGGAGTTGTGGTAGCCTTTTTGCCTTTTTTCTGAGGAATGATAACCTCAAGATTAAATAAAAACAAACATGAGTCGCTCAGCCGGTGTGGCTCAGTTGTTGAATATCGACCTACAAACCAGGAGGTCATGGTTTGATTCCAGGTCAGGACATATGCCCGGGCTGTGGGCTCAATCCCCAGTGGGAGGCATGCAGGAGGAAGCCGATCAATGATTCTCTCTCATCATTGATGTTTCTATGTCTCTCTCCCTCTCCTTTCCTCTCCGAAATCAATAAAAATATTTGTAAAAACAAACAAACATGAGTCTATTTTCAAACTCAAAAAGGGAGTATTGGTCCCTCATAAATGACTGCTAAATTCTGGCACTGCCTTCTAGTTCAAGACCACATGCATTAGATATATGCTAGCATGTTAAAACTATAGCGTCATGTTACATGTCCTTCTCTATACCTGTGCAGTCATAGTCCTCATTTTCAGGTAACATGTATAATCATAATGAACCCTTCAAATACCTCTGGACCCACACCTGTTAATTTCTACACCTCATACTCTAATCACTTCAGCTTTGAAGCAGCACACCTTAAATCCACTCTGAAAATAGACTGTCTAGATCCCATCTGCTACTGTGTGGCTCTAGTTCTTTAAAATATATTTTTATTGATTTCAGAGAAGAAGAGAGAGAGAGAGAGAATCATTGATCAGCTGACTCCTGCACACCCCCTACTGGGGATCAAACCCACAATCCGGGCATGTGTCCTTGACTGGAATCGAAGACTGCAAGCCGATGCTCTATCCACTAAGCCAAACCAGTTAGGGCTAGGAGAGATTTTTTTAAGCCTCACCTTTTTTCTCTTCTAACAATGATAACCAATGTTACATGGTATTTTAAGGATTATGAATTAATTTCTGTAACTAAGAGCTCTGTTAAGTGTTATTAAATCATTTGGGGAGGTGGTATAAAGTTCACTGAAAGTTCAGTATTAAGACCAGAGATAAAATGAGTATCAAATAGGCTGGACAGTCCTTGCAAAATTAATACAAATTAGAGTGGGCAGTTAACTTGATAAAAACATTATCTATATTCAAGTCACACTCAAAGCTACCTCTTGTTGACCACCAGTTTTATCAAGTTATGTGTTAAAATAAGACTTGTAGTTGTCTTTACAGTAAGCAATAATAGCCAAGAGTACCAAAGTGTCATCGTCAGTACAAAGGGAGCTGGCGTTCCTCACTCCACAACATTATAACACAGTGACTAGTGTTACAAAACTTGTACAAAGAACAGAGACCTGCCCAGTTGTGTGGCTCAGTGGTTGTGTCGACCTATGAACCAAGAGGTCACAATTCAATTCCCAGTCAGGGCACATGCCCCAATTGTGGACTTGATCCCCAGTAGGGGGAGTAAGGGAGACAGCCAATCAATGATTCTCTGTCATCACTGATGTTTCTATCTCTGTCCCTCTCCTTTCCTCTCTGAAATCAATAAAAATATCTATCTTTTTTAAAAAAGAACAGAGACCTGCTTGGCAGCTAGGAAAGGAATCTGGTAAGGCTAAACCCAGACCTGAATACAATGCCCAGCACCACCACATACAAGACAGCTAGCTGTCCAGGCTGTTTCCTCATCTAGCATGTGGGGCTAGCAAGTTGAAACTGGAAAAATGATTTAATACATCATCACACTAAGCCCTGTGGAGGGCACATGAGGAGGCGGCTCCAGATCTTTTCTCTCAAGCTCATCCAAATACTTACCTTTATGGTATTTTGACAGGTCAATGAAGAGCTTGTGAAACACTCAACCATTACAACAGGGCATCTATGAAGGAATACAATCTTACCTTTGCCAGTATTCTCACACATACAACACGACTGTACATGACTCTGCATTAAATTGTACATAATTACCTCTTCTCCACTGCTTTCATCTTCTTCATCTGACATTTCCTCATCTTCACTATCTTCTTCTACCTCCTTTGGAGGAGAAGCCATTTTCTTGGGGTCACCCTGATTTTTACCAGCCTACAACAGACACGGTCATTAGCACATTACACCTCCCACATTTCAGGCCACTCACATTTTGCCTGCAGTCATCTCCCTTTCTCAGAATCCACTTTTCATTCTGTTAAATATTACCAATAAGGTAAACCAATCTTAGGTAAAAAGACAATTTTAGCCCTTGCTGGTTTGGCTCAGTGGATACAACATTGGCCTGCGGAGTGAGGGGTCCCCGGATTCGATTCTGGTCAAGGGCACATACCTCGGTTGCAGGGCCTGGGTCCTGGTTGGGGCTCATGCAGGAGGCAACCAATGGGTGTTTCTCTCACATCGATATTTCTGTCTTTCTTTCCCTCTCTTTAAAAATTAATATCCTCGGGTGAGGATTAAAAATAACAATTTCAAACACACGATCTCCCCTCCTCCTATTGCCTTCATTTAGCATACCTGTTTATTTATTTATTTATTTTGAAAATATATTTTATTTTTTTAAAATA